CCCCCCCGCTGCGCTCTGATTGGCAGATTCGAAAGTTCGGCCCGGCACATCCTGCGTGACGCGAAGGAATGGAATGTGCGTGGGCGGGGCTGCGGGAGTCGGGGGGTGGATGGACACGTGCGTGGCTCTCCAAGCCCGGCGGGGCGGGACAACGGGGCTGGGCGGCCAGGCCACGTGCGTGGGCTCTGGACTGGGGGGAGGGGGACTATGTGGGAGGGCTGGGGGGCAGGACAGCCACTTGGGGAGTTTGGGGGGGCAGGACACGTGGGGGCTCCGGGGCTCCATGGTGGGGACACTGTGTGGAGAGTCTGAGGGGCAGCTCAGACTGGGGTAGGGCCATGGGCACCAGGGGTCCCCCATCTCTCCTCCAGCCACCAGCGCAATGAGGTTTGCCAGCAGGGCATCAGCCGATGTGCAACCAGTAGACCCAGGGACGTTCTCTTCCCGCTCTATTCAGTGTTGGCACGGCCACAGCTGGAGCGTGGGGTCCAGTCCTGGGCACTGCACTTCAGGAAGGACGTGGATAAGCTTGAGAGGGTCCAGAGAAGGGCCACCCATGTGATTAGGGGGCTGGAGGATAGGCCCTATGGGGAGAGACTCCAGGAACTGGGCCTGTTCAGTCTGAGTAAGAGAAGGCTGAGAGGTGACTTGCTAGCCGCCTACAAGTAGGTCGGGGGTGAGCACCGAGATCTCGGGGAGCAACTCTTCAGGAAGGCACCCCAAGGGAGGACAAGGACCAATGGGCACAAGCTAATTGAAGAAAGATTTAGGCTGGACATGATCATCTTTTCCATAAGGGTAACTAGAATCTGGAGCACGCTCCCAGCAGAGGTGGTGCAGTCGCCATCCTTGGAGGTGTTCAAGAAGAGGCTGGACAAGCACCTCGTTGAGTTTGCCTGAGCCCAATAACCCCCTGCCCATGGCAGGGGACCGGACTCGATGATCTTGCAGGTCCCATCTGGTCCGTCGATTCTATGATTCTGTCTCTGGTGCGGGGCTCAGACCTGGGAGCCTCCCCTGCCTCAAACTAGGGTTGGGGGCAGAGCAGGGCAAAAACGGCCCCTGTGGGTCTGCCCCAGGCACAACTGCCCAGCAGGGTCGTGGCCCCCCCCCCCAATCATCTTGGAGGTGTCTCCGTCCCCCTTCTCTGCCGGTGCGCGGCCTTGGTGCTCCCCTCTGTGCTTCCCAGGGCATGTCTGGAGCCCCCTCCTCTGCTCATGCAGCACCAAACCAATCTGCAGCCTCCTTTCCCTTGGCATGCCCTGTGGCCGCCCCCTTTCACCTACTGTGTTTCCCAAAACAGCTGGCAAAGTCCCCTCCCTGCCAGGCCTGAGCAAGGTTTGCTGGAGCAGGGCAGGAGCCAGGGGCGGGGGACTTTGCATCCCCCCACCCCCTAGATTCCTCCCACTGGGGAGAGGGAAGTGATGGGTGCCTGGGGGCTGTGAGCCAGCCCAGGCCTGCCCTGGGCAGCTCCTTGCCATGCAGCCTGTGTGGGAGCCCCCTGGGCTGCCCTCACCTGCTGCCCTGGGCTGGGCTGGGCTGGGGGCCCAAAGGCTGTCTAGCCCCGGGGAGCAGGAAACAAGCCTTGTCTGTGGAACAAAGAGGCCATCAGCATGTGGAGCCTCCCCTCTGAAGTACCCAGCCCCACTGTGTCCCCAGGCCTGCTTGGGTGCCAGTCAGGGACCTGCCTCCCCTGCTGCTTGCTGGGGGGCTTGGATCTGTGTCCCCAGCCAACCCCAGCGACACCCTCCCCCCCAACCTTGGGGAGCTTTGCAGGGTGAAGTCAGGCAACCGGTCCAGAGCAGTTGGGAACAAAGGCAGCTCATCAAGTCAGGAATTTAATCCCCTGCTGAAGCCATTGGCTGGAGGGAGAGACCGGGGAACAGTCACAATCAGCCGGACCCTGGAGACATGGCTCAGCTCCGGCCCCAGCCATGTCCGGTGAGGCCTCCAGGCCAGGCCAACCCCCTCCCACCCTGGCTTCCTTCCTCCGTGCCCCAGGGCTCCTGCCAGGAAGGTCAGGAGCAAGGCCCGGACCAAACCCATCAGGGCATGGCTGTCAGGAGAGCCTGGCATTGCCCAGCCCCACCCCGGAGAATGGAGGGTGTTCTTCTCTTGCAAAGAAATGGGGCAGAGTCTGTCCAGACTGCTGGGGCAGTTTGGTGGGGCAGGTGTTACAGCAAAACAAGCCCAGGCAAGAGGAAGGGAAGTGGCTGGGGAGAGCCACGTGACCTCTTGCTCTCAGTTCCTGGTGGGAGCTGGTGTCCTTGCCATGCATGCAGGGCGTAGGCTGGAGTGGGAACACCTAAAAATACGATAGCTCCAACAGGCTGGCACTTCCCTCCCCTAGTTTTCTGGGGATTGTGGTCCCCGGGGGACGAGGGCTTTCCAGCCAGGCAGCCAAATGCAAGAGAGGGACGAGCAACAGGGGCAGGGCTGGGCAGGATGCGACCTGGGGCTTGGGGTGCTGCAGGGGCTGATGCTTGAAGCTGCCCTGAGTTGGAACAGCTCTGGGGGGCCACCTTGGCTGTCTCCCCGCTCCCCTCCAAGCTGCATCTGGGGAGGGTGGGGTCTCAGGGCTGTGGTCTCTGAGCTCAGGGAGGCAGGAGATGCCAGGCCCTCGGTGGCCTTTGTGTCTGCCTCATCCTGGCCCCCTGGGCAAGGCAGAGAGAGCCCCTCCATGTGCCCCTGGCCCATCCCCAGGGGTATCTGCAGCCGCCAGGGTTTGATGGAAGGGTGCTACTCTTCCTGGGGACGGCCCTGCCTGGCTCTCGCTGCCACCCCCCACCCCAGCTTCCCAGGGCCAAGAGCGGAGCGTGGCCCCTTCCCTGTGCCCCTCTTACCTCGTCAGCCATGGGGAATGACATCAGGGGCTTCACCTGTGGCTTGGCGCTGCTCCCAGCAGGTGGAGCCGCCGCCGAGTTTTGGGGCCCTTGTCCGGGAAGCAGCAGGATCAGGACCCTTGGGCCCAGCAGAGGTTTGTTCCAGCCTGGCAAGGACTGCCATGGCCCCAGGCTTGCAGAATGCCAGGGGCAGCCTGCCCTGCGGGGACCAGGCCCAGCCAGCCCCATCCACCCCAAAGAGGCAAAGGGCTTTGCAAATTGCAGGTGAAGGAATTGCTGCCCCTCGCATGACCACACGTGTGCAACCCCCCTGTGCACTCATGTGAGCGCACGCAGGACAAGGCTGCCCAAAGGGCCCCAGGTGGATGGTGTTTCCAGGAGCCGGTGGACTGAGACCCCCACTCTCCTGTGCGGGGCGGTTGAACCACCCTGGTGAAGCAGCATCGAGCGACCTGGGCCAGTGCTTCGGTGTGGTGCAGTGCCCTGCCCAGCTCTGTCCATGGCTGCATCTGCTCTAGCTAGAGATGGAGGTGGCCCCTGACCCCCGCCCTGCAGCAGCCCCAACCCCTTCCCCCTGACCAGCGGAAGGCCCAGGGTGCCGCAGAGGCATGGGCAGGAAGAGGGAGATGTGCTCCAGCCTTGCTCTGCCAAGGGCAGGGTGTGTGGAGAGGGCAAGGGCCGGAGTGGCATGGGAGCTGTCTGACTGTGTGCTGGAGGCCCGGCAGGGCAGGCCGGATCTCGCGCAGCCTCCTCCACCCGCCCTACTTGCAGGCTTTGCCGCATTGCGGAGCTGGCCCCTCCTCCCTCCCCCGCGCAGAGGCTCGCTCCAGCCCATGCGGATGTCTGCTGTCTGCTCCCGGTGATGTGGTGGCTGCAGCCATAGCAGGGCCAGCCCGGCTCTCTGCACAGCTGGAGGCACAGGTCCCAGGACCGGCTCCATGCTCCCTGGATCCAGGCTAGGTCAGGCTGGGAGGGTCCCTGCTCCCTACCATGTTCCTGCTCCCCTTGGCCTCCCTGCAACCGCTGCCCATCCTGGGCTGCACCCTCCAGACAGAGCCAGGGCCCAGCTCTACCCTAGGGGAGCTGGTCACTCAGGGACTTGCCCCAGAACTAACTTTGGCCCTCAGCATCTCCCTGCTGTGTCCATGCAGGGCCTTACCCTGGAGCGGCTGCTCTGGATTAGTGCTAGCATGAGTGTGTGCCTGGACACCACCCCAGCCCTGAGGCCCCGTGTCCCTGGGCCGGCCTGGGCTGTGTGAGCGGAGTGAGATGCCCCAGAGCCACAGGGAATGGGTTTCCTGCTCCCTCAGCCCTATGGCAGCCAGAAAGGGGGCCTTCCCAGTGAGCCCCGCTATGCCCAGCTCTTTTCCACCCAGGAAGGGGGTCACTGAAGCCCAGGAGGGAGCAGGCTCTTCCCACCTCCCCACCCGGTCCCTAGCATGCAGCTGGAAACCCCCCCCACCAAGGCAGGCAGCCAGGCTCAGCTCAGACCACAGGCTCCAGCTGTCTTGGGGAGAAGGGCAGTGGATGGCCAGGGAAGGGCCAGCTGAAGAACCAGGGCTTATGAGCTACCAGGCTCCTCCCTCCGTGCCATGGGCGTCAGCGCCTGCCGCAGCCGGGGAAGGGGGAGAGGCAGGAGGAGAGACAAAGAGCGGAGAGTGCTGCGCTGGCAGGCGGAGCCCATCTCCCTGCCCCCTCCAGCTCCCGGCATGGGAACCAGCCTGGAGGGGCCCTCGGTCACCCCCCACCAGCGGGCCCCCCCCTCGCATTGGCGCACCAGGACGGGGCTGTCTGTGCCAGGGCCCCACCCTGTTTCTCTCCTGCCTCCTGGGGGGACCCAGGGGTCATCCACAGTTGAGCCTCGGTGGAGGCTGAACGCGGACAGGATGCACGTATCCAGAATGCCCTGCACCCACTGCTGTCCTGCCAGCCCCATCCTGCTCATCTGCCGTCCGTGTGCTTGCGTGTACTTTGAACACACTGGGCTGCCTTCCCAGCCGTGCCGCAGCTTGCTGAGCTGCTCCACGCGTGTTTGCAGCGGTGGGGCGTGGTGCTGGTGTAGTGAGGCCAGAGTCCTTCCCTCCCCAGGGTCATCCCAGCTGCATCCCAGGGACGCTCCCACGCTCCCCTCCTTTCTGTCCTGCCATCTCCTCCCCGCCAAGGCAGTCCTGGCACCGTAACAGCTCCAGCTGCTCCCAGGCTGGCCGGCTCTCATGCTCCTTCTATGGGAGGGGAAGCAGAGAAGGGCGATTACTGAGGCACATCCAGGCCAAGCCCCTTGCCGGCCCCTGTCCAGGCTGCAGGCTTCCCTGATGCACTCAGCACCCTGCTGCTGCAGCCCTTTGAGCTGGGCGGAGACAGGACAGGGAGGGCCCACAGCACAGGGGTCCTCTGGATGGCAGGAGGGAGGGCAGGGGGTGCCCCACCTGGGACAGATGAGATGCAGACCCCCAGGACCAAGAGACAATCCCCTCTCCTGCATGGCGTTTTGTGCTGCTGCAGCCCCCAGGCAGGCAGCTGATGGCCCAGGCTGCCTCCCTGCCCCCACGCCGGAGAGGGAAGCCATGTGTCCTTCCTGCCGGTCGGCAGCTGGGACGCCCATCTGGTGCCAGGGTCCAGAGCCTGTATGCGCTGGGGGAGAAATTCCTCCCCCCAGGGCTTGGAAAGGCACAAAGGATTGCTGCAAAGGGGATCACCCATCTGTGCCTAGCCAGGGAAGTTGCTTCCTGGGCTGGGCTCCTCCAAGTCCAGATTCCTGGGTCCTCAGGCTGCAGCAGGCAAAGCCAGGACCCCCTTTCTCCATCTGTCCTTGGGCATCCCTGTGGTTAGGGGCAAAGTGGGGGGTCAGACCTGCACCCGCAGGGGACCAAGACAGGGGCGCACAGGGCACCCTGCACTCAGCTCCTGGGGGTCCCCGGGGCCCAGCTCCGCCCCCACCTTCCCAATGCTGCTTGTTTGGCTGCCTCATGGCCGTTGGAAGGGGCTGGCTCTCAACCGCCGGATGCCTCCTCCCCTGCCCAAAATCACTGTGCGAGGCCTGGCTACCGGCAAACACAGCCGGGGAGGCCCAGCAACAGTCTCCTGGAGCTGCCTCGTTGCTACCAACAATCAACAGAGGCTGGTGCAGGAGAGGCCACCCCACAGCCAGGGACCGAGTGGTGGGGAGCAGCTCTGGTGTAGTGAGTGTCCCGGGCAGCAGCCTGCAGGATGGGGCTGTGCTGAGCCCCCCTGCCAGGGCCTCAGTCCCTTCCTAGCTGAGAGTGGCCCTGCCCAGCCCCTGGAGCTGCTCTACCCTGGGCCTGGAGCTTGAGGCCGTCACTGGCAGCTCCTGTGGGCAGGGGGACCACGGACACAGGGCTGACACCCATGCTCAGGCGTGGGCAGCAGGACCCTGGCAGGACGACGCAGGGCTGACATGCATGCCTGGGCACGGGGCAGTGGTGGATTAGCGCGGCTCTGCAGCCCTGAGTGTCTCGCCCGGTCGGCCTGCCCCACTCCTCTCGCCCCAGGGAACCAGGGAGGGACCCCGTCACCTTCCAGGGTCCCCTCTCTGCCCCCCGTCCCCTGCCCCCTCCCTCCCTGGCGCAGCAGGCAGCGGCTTTCCGCAGGCCACGTGATGGGCAAGGTGATAAAGGAAGAGCGAATGCCACCAGGGCCTCCTGTTCCAGCTCTTAGCAACCAGCTTGTTGCCTAGCAGCGGTTGTGGTGGAAGGACTCTGCCTCGAATACCTAATGAGGCTGTGGGCCTAGAGCCACCGAGACCCTCCGTGGATCTCCAGAGCCTCTGGCTCCATCCCGCTTTCCGCAGGCCACGTGATGGGCAAGGTGATAAAGGAAGAGCGAATGCCACCAGGGCCTCCTGTTCCAGCTCTTAGCAACCAGCTTGTTGCCTAGCAGCGGTTGTGGTGGAAGGACTCTGCCTCGAATACCTAATGAGGCTGTGGGCCTAGAGCCACCGAGACCCTCCGTGGATCTCCAGAGCCTCTGGCTCCATCCCGCACCCGCCCCTTGGGGCTTGGACCTATGGTGCAGGCTCTATATTCAGCCTCACGCCCCCCCGCCCCCCCCCCCCCGCACGAGGGCTGTGCAGGGGGAAACTGAGGCATGCAGTGGTGACCTCACTCCTGCCACATCATGGTGCAAGGGCAGGGCAGGGTTTGGATGCAGGTGTCCGAGTCCCCTGCTCTGACCTCTGCTTTTTCCTTCCTCCCAGAGCAGGAGTCCAGCTGCCCAGGCCCCTTCCTGTGGGGGAAACCAGGGCCAGTCACAGCCACCATCCCCCAGGGGCTTCACCCAAGGGTGACAGGAGGGGCTGGGGACAGGCTGCTGCAGAGGGTAGGGGGGTCAGTGTGGACCCTGGCTCGGGGCCCCAGCCAGGCCCGGCCTTGACTCCTGCCTCCAGCACTTCTCAGCTCTATGCCTTCCCCCTCTTCCAAACACCCCTTGTCCAATTGCTGGTGGCAATGCCCAGGCTGGGACCTTGGCAGGCATCCGCTGCCCCCAGCAGGATGTGACCCTGGGAGCAGATGGGACCAACGATCAGGATGCGAGTATCCGAAGTAGAGCGTACGAGGGTGCAAACAAAGCTGGAGCCATTTCCTGCCCCATGCAGGCAGCTGGAGGAGGGGGCTGGTGCCTGCAGAGCTGAGCTCCCGACCTGTCCCTGCCCCCTCTTAAGAGGGCACGGAGCATCCAGGGGCCCCATGCTCAGGCCGGGGCAGCACTGCTCCAAGTCCTTCTCTCTGCCCCTGTGCCCAGGCAGGGAGGCAGGGGCTGGGTACAGGCTAGGGGCTGCCTCCACATACTCCAGCGGGGCTAGACAGGGCCAAAAGCCGCACCTGGTCACAGGGCTTGGGCCAAATCCTGCCTCTGGCTCCCTTGTCCCAGCTGTGTCCTCAGCACAGCTCCATGGCACGGGATGTCTGACCCAGCTGAAGCCTTGAAGGAGCTGTCCGGGGCCTCGTTCCTTGGTGCCCGGGTCCCGGTATCTCAGCAGCTTCACAATGGATGGGAGATGGGGGTAGGGC